CTTCTCCTCGAATTCCTAAACTAAAAAAAAAAAAAAATTAATATTCTCTGTCTGTTAAATGAAAAATCCATCTAGAGACATTTCAATGTCACCTTGGGCAGTTTCATTCATTTCCTACGACGGTGGGTCCACACCGAAGCATTATCTGCAGTCACTGTCTACCATCTTGGTCCTAGAAGCACCTTACCCACCCACCCAACCTCCCTTGACCGAAATGCCTCCCTCCAGAATTGCATTCTCTAAGCCAAGCTTCGACTACTGCATTCCCAGAAGCCTCTGCCAGACACTCAGTCACCCAATCATCTCTCTGCGCTTAACAACATCCGGATACTTTTCTTACAATTCCACAGAGTCTGCTGATTAATTTGGGCATAGCATCACTTCCCCACACAAAAAAAAAAAATAAATAAATAAAATAAAAACGCGTTTTGCATAACACAAATTACAAATCAGCGCGCCATCGTATAGAAAACGTTGTGCGCGTGCGCCATCATATAGAAAACGTTGTGCGCGTGCGCGTGTTATTTCATAACACACAAACACCCACCCATACACGGCGTGTCTTTTAAAGCATTACACAATAGCGTATTATTTCATGGATGTGCGAATAGCGTAACGGTCTTTATTATTATTTTATGTACCGTATCCATTCAGGACGTGGACGCTCACGGCTCTCCACAACTTCCTTTCCTTAGTATCACTAAGCAATGTTTGCCCTTATACTACTCTCCCTAGTTCTTTTTTCTGCCATCCATGAACAAAACCTTGTTAGGTACGTTGCTCACTATTTGGCTTGATCTTTCAAGACGTGAACGGCCATGGCTCTCCACAACGTCCTATGCTATTTCTTTTATACTATCCCTCTTAGTCTCTTTTCTGTCATCCATGAACAAAAATACGTTAGGTATGTTACTCATTGTTTGGCTTGACCTTTCATAATGTGGACAGTCATGGCTCTCCACAACGTCCTTATCCTTAGAGCTAAGCAATATATGTCCCCATACTATCCCTCCTAGTCCCTTTTCTGCCATCCATGAACTAAACCTCGTTACGTACGTTACTCACTGTTCAGCTTGGCTTTTCAGGATGTAGACGACCATGGCTCTCCACAACGTCCTAACCTTAGCCCTAAGCAATGTCTGTCCCCATAATGTCTTTCTTGTCTCTCTTCTGCCATCCATTACACAAGCTCGTTAGGTACGTTACTTGTTTTGCCTTGTCCCTTCAAGATATGGGTGTTCATGTGTCTCCACAACTTCCTATCCTTAGTAGCACTAAGCAATATTTGTCTTTTTCTGTCCATAAACTCTCTTTTTTGCTATTTATTTACACAAGCTCCCAGTTTGGCTTGTACCCTCAGGTCATGGCTCGCCACAACTTCCTCTACATTGTATCTCTAAGCAATGTTTATTCCTTTACTATTAATCAAACTCCATCTTCTGCCATCCATTTACATAAGCGCGAAGTAATCTACAGGGAAAAAAACAGGAAGTTCCAGAACACATAAAACCGATGATCAAGTCTTATTCGGTCTCTTCTCCCACTTTTTCGTTTTCACTGGCCACTACCTCCAAGGCCAGCTTGAAGAACTACCCACAAGCCTTGCAGCAGAAGATACGTAGTCTGTCCTGGCAGTTTAACCTGAGATTTCTCGTTCCTCGTCGGAACAAGCAGAGAAATGTCTCTTCGATACACCTCACAAAAAAAAAAAAAAAAAAAAAAACAGGAAAAACTACTCACAGCCCTTGCTGCAGAAGACACGTACCAATCCTAGCAATTTGACACTTAGATTTCTGGTTCCTCGTGGGGACAAGCGTAGCAATATCTCTCTAAGAAGCGTCTACTCAAGAGAAGAACACAACATTTATCACTATTTTGCACTCTTTTCGATCACGAATAAAATCTGTTAAACTGTTATTTCAAGCCTAGTAAAATATTAATAATAATGTTCAACCATGCTTCAGCTACTAAAGCAAGGAACTACCGGAAGTCCCAGAAATCATAAAAACGTTGACCGAAGACTATTCAGTCTTGTTTTCCACTCTTCTTTTTCAGCGGCCGCTACCTTCAAAGTCTAGCTCGAAGGGCTGCTTTGTGAGCAGCCCTTTCTGCAGAAGACCCGTGTCCTGTCCTAGCATCTTGATCCTCGTGCGAACAAGCAGAGAAATCTATCTTCGAAAGACTGAAAAAAACCTACACACAACCCTTGCTACAGAAGACACATACAAGTCCTAGCAGTTTGACGCTGAGATTTCTCGTTCCTCGTGGGAACAAGTGGATAAATCTCTTTCTACGAAACATCTACTCAAGGGAAATCCAAGATTTTTCCCCTAAAATACCATTATTTTGCACTCTCTTCTCAACCACAAATAAAAGCTGTTAAACAGTTATTTATTTCGAGTCCTAGGTTTTTCTATTCCACTCTATACAATTACGAGCACACACGCAACCGGGAAAATCCCTTACAATGTGACAAAAATTGCTCAAGCCATCTTGACAT